TGCGCAGAGGCAGGCGTTTTGGGCTGGCCCTAGCCAGTTTTGCAGGCGGTATTTAGCCAGGTGCTGCCAAGGGAGGAGAGCCCTGCAGAGGGTATAACAGATGTAAACACATTCAGATAAGGAGCAGCAAGAACACAACCTCAAATCCTTTCACATTTTCACCAGGCTGATACACAGAGAGATGTTTACAATACAAAACGCAGTTACAGCCATCACTGCAGGGTGATTTACTTGCATCATGGTCATTTTAACCCCCCGCCTCCATCCTCCCAGCACAGCTCACTCTAGCAAGGTCTTCCTCACTTACTACTTGGTGCAGGTAAACCCAATTAATCTCCTGGATTACAGGTGAAGCTCTGGCTGGTACAGATAAACACAACCAGTATGTGTAGCTACATGCAAACATAATGAATGAGCCAGCAAACACTTCTGGATCCTGCGTTCAGTAAGGCAATTTTTGCTTCCAAATTCAAGTGACAGGGAAACGACTACATATTCATTTTACACACATTTCCAAGTTTAACTTCTGTGAGCGTAAAAAAACCCAAATTACCCTCCTGGATGCTTTTTGGATCTAGAAGCGAACTGTGGCACAGGTGGGGTGTCACAGGGTAGGTTTGCCTCTGGTAAAACAGTAGGGAGCAGGGAAGCACCAACTCAACCCCTTTACAAGTGAGAAGGATCAAAGTCCAAGCTCCCAAGGGGACTTTGTTCTGTCCTGCCTGGCCAGGGGATGGGTACCCAAGCATTTCACTCTGTAGCTGACATGCAGTACAGGCAAACCCAAAGCTCAGGAGTAGCTCTCACAAAGCTCTGTCACTCAGACAGCACAAAGCATGCCTACAAGCAAGGGCTGCAATTCTTTACGGTGCTTGCATCAAGCAAATGCATTAATTGCTAGGGAAAGGCGCTGCTGGGATGCATTCTCCTCCTTGGGCTGACCCAGGAACACGCAATGCTCAGATTCCTCAGCTTCCCGATAAGCCACTGCAGCTGGGGAGTCACTGAAGGAGCTATGTTTAAATGAGAATCTCTCATCGTAGCACTCCTTACTCAACCCATGCAGAGCCGGAGCTGTGTCACTCTGTCATTAGCGATTGCTTAACAGCTCACTTGAGCCTGCTCTTCCCCCTCCTCCCAGTCGTCTGGATTTTAAAGCAAGGCTGTGCTATTCTGGCATGCGTGTCCTGCCTCGGTGCTGGAGACAGATGCACTCAGAGGGTGCTGACTCACGGACGCAGGCAGATTAAACTTGGATTGCTAAAGCAGTTGCTGTCCCAGCTGTCCCTCGGCCCCCAGCCACAGCACAGACAGCTGAACTACACATAGATCAACCCCCAAACACTACTATACACCCTGATGTATGGGGGGACCAAGGATCAGCCCCAGATGACTTTAATCTGCAGGGCTGTAAGATATAGGCAGCCAGAGGCTGCTTCACGTACAGTGCAGATGTTTCTGCCATGAGGTGGAGACATCCAGGGGAAGGGAGGAGCAAAGAGCTGGGAGCTCCAGGGGTGTCAGCCGTCTGCCTGGGTCCATGAGTCAACTCGCTGACGCGTGGTGAAGCCACATGCTTCAGTACATGCAGCTTTCCCCACACTGCCCGCCGGTCTGTCTCCAAGAGGTGGAAGGGGTAATGCAGTCCCTAGTCATGCTCTGGCCTTTCGCAGGCAGGCAGCAAACAAAGCTGGCAAGCAGGGCAGTGGGATTATTTTACCATCTGTGCATTAGAAACTGGCCCAGGAGTCACCAAGCTCACTTCATGCGGGACATGGCTGCTTTGGCGTGCTAATGACTCCTGCTCACTGTCAGCTGGGGCTAGATTTGAATTGGGGATGAGGAGGTGGAAAACACATTCCCTTTTCTATTTCAGCAACCGCATCCTTTTAGAGCAAAGCCAGTTTGGAGAAGAATGAATCCTCGCTTTAAAGAGCGCTTCCCATCTGCTGTTCATCAGCATCCTCACCCTCCACCAGGGCAATCCTGGGGGGACCTCGGGCCCTGGGCAACCAGCCCACCATGGGGCAGCCCCCTTGAGTCCCTTGAAGGGCTCAGCAAAGCCTGCTAAGGAAGGAGGGGGGGGGGTAGAACATATTTTGCACATTTTGAAAAGGAAACCTGGGACCTGGTATCTCATTCTATAAAGTAATCATGGACTTAATTGCATTTTGCTGCAGAGTTGCCTTAACATCAAGGGAAAATCAAGAGGGATTGTTCAACATCAAGACTAATCTCGCACATGGAACTTATTGAACGTAGGAACCACGTTTTTGCTGGCTCAAGGTGAAATGCTAGGCTGAATTCTCCTTCAGCTGCGAGAAAAGCCCTAGGCACGCTCATCCTGCATTATTCCAACTGTAGAGAGCTTCAATTATACACATATAACCCTTCCCTCCCTTCTTCAGCGGTGTCGCAATGCAACAGTGCCTCGTTACGATCAAACTCCTCTTTTATGGCTATAGGAATGTGCGGAAGTCTTCTACCCTCATTACACAAACGACTCCTTAGCAGCTTTATTTTAAGAAACTACCCACAATTGGTAACACAACCGCATTTTATCTATCACTGAGGGGAAGCTGTGACTGACACCTGAGCATGTCCTCAGCAACCACAGACCTGCACGTATAGGGCAGGTCCTATGCATCTAAGCAACTACAGGAACTCACCACTCCCTCTGCACCACACTGAATCACAGCCTTGCTTCTGCTAACAAACTTGCTTGCTAAATAGACATTTAATACTATTTATGCATAGGGAGGAAATATAGAATTCCTTTATTGGGGTAAAAAAATGACACTAAAGAGCAGGTCAAGTTCCAAATCCAGCAGTAGGTTTTAACCAGTGTTGTTCCCTTTTTTCTCTCTTTTTTTTTTCCTTTTTAACAGCTGTAGCTGTGCACAGATGGAAAAACATTTGGTCAGAAAGCAGCAAATTAGTGTTTTCAGGCTAGAATTCTGCTCCCACCGCTCCTCCATTTCCATGCAGCTCTGAACGCTTTATTTCTTCTTAGCATTGACATTTTTGCACACCCAATTCATGCCGTCCTTCAGACAGAGAAAGGTAACATTAGTCAAAGGAAGGGAAAAGGAATCCCCCAATCCCACCTGGGCACCATTACTGCAGGCACCGTGTTCTGCCTCCTCACCCACCTTCCGCCTGCTCCCTGCACCCAAAACCACTGTGGGTTAAAAAAATAAGTGCTTCCTTGCTCAGCAGATGTTGTCACACAGAGCTTATTAAATCTTTCATCTGACCATAAAAAGCATCATCGTCTCATCATGTCACAATGCATAGGTCCTTCGAGGAAGGATCACTTTGCAGTTGAGCTGCATCAGTGGCAGATGAAGGCTCAGCTCCAGGTTCAGCTACAGATGATTTGTGTAACCTTGGGCAAGTCATCTTATCTTTAAGACCGTGGTTTTTAGGGGGCTGCTTGCTATACAGTCAGCTCCCTGCTAAGAATATGGCTCTAATTCTCTGCTCAGCTGCAAGCCTTGAAATCCAGATCCATGAAAGTCACTGCAATAACTGGATCTGGACCCTGCTCCCTGTTCCTTGGGGCCCCCACAGAAAATGGGCCCTCAGGGGCTCCACAGGGGTTCAGTGAGAAGTGATGTGGTCATGTTTTAAGAGGCTGATACATTCTTCAGGCAGCTTTTCTGACCACAGCAAGCAGGACAGTAGCACTTCTGCTGTGAATACCTCATTTGTGAGTTTATTGCTCATATCCCAGAATGGGACACGCTATTGAAGGCCAACCAAGACTTTATCTGTTCCTGTCCCTTATCTATTAGGAGACACACACAATGGAGATCAAGATGCACAGTCTCCACATATTTGTGCCCCATCAAACCGATTACCTCTGCCATGCCTATGTAGTGTCTCTGCTGACAGGGAGGCACGGGGCAAAAGGTAGAGGTCTGGGGATGAGAGGGGAACAGCACACCTTTGCGCTCTGAAATGGGGCAAACATTACCTTAGAGTCCAGGGCAGGGGGATTTCACTCTATTATATTCAGTGGTCATTTTTAGATCATTAAAATTACAACTAGACCTTGAAAAAAGATCAGAACCTTTGGGCCAGCATCGTGGCTAGCTCCGTGGCAGCAGTGTTGCTGGCTTCCTGCACCATTGTCCCCAGACTGCCAAAAAGCTACCAAGGACCTCAACCTCTCCAAGGACAAAGAGCCAAAGGCACAGCACAGCAGGACCTTTGGGTGAGCAGAGACCCACTGCCATGCCTCCATGCTGCCCCTCAGCCACCAAGGTGGTGGCCATCTCAGAAGGGAGGTAAAGAGTTAAGAGAGAAGAGAGGGAGTCCTCAGGGCTTAATCAGAAGCAGAGGAGTTCTCACTTGAAAATACCAATTCACCTTGATAGCTGCGCTATGTGACACTTCTTATCTGAAGGGGAGCAGCAACTTTTGAAATCAGCCCTTGTTGCTGTGTTAAATAAAGAAAAAGAGGGCCCAGCTTCTGTGCTGGAGTGCACATGAAGCCCTACGCTAATAACACTTCTAACTCTAACCTTGGGGAGGGTTGATGTCTCCAGTTTCATTTATTTATCTCCACAGCAGAGATCAGTGTAAAACAAATTGTCTGAAATCCTCACAGCAAATGGGAAAAGATGAGAGGTAGATTCATTTTAAGGCCCAGTAGCTTTGTGTCTTCCCCTTTCAATAACACTGATAACCTAGGTGTAAAACATGTAATGCCTTAAGCAATCAATAGTGTGGTTTAAAGCTTATCACTTTAGAGAGAGAGAGGGAGCGAGTGATTCCCAGCATGAGGAATGCCAGGGCTTAACAATGGGGCTAGGAAGAGAGGTGTCAAGCCTTTGGCTTGATTGTGTGCTTTAGAAATATGCATGATTGCCTGCAAAGAGTAAAAATAAATAAATAACTAAAAATGCTCCCACAACGATTCCAGCTTCCCCTGCCTCGGAAGCAATAATCACATTTGCACACATCATGGCATACAAGGCAAGCAGAGCTCCTCATTCATTTTGAATGTAGGTTTATTTGCTGAACCAGAACAGCTGAGACAGCTTAAAGTAATAAATATCAGCTGACACCCTCTGCTATTCAGCACAGTAATCCCAGAAACAATACATCACTGCAAAATAACAAACACGCATCCTATCTTCTACCTAATCTGACCACAACCTGAATTCACAGTGATTAAAACTCTGCCTGCTGCCATTTGGGAGCTCGGGAAGGGGGACAGACAGACCGTTTCCGCACCAGTGTGGCGAGGGTCATAAAGCAGAGTTTATGATGGGATTTACCACAGCTAGGAGCCTGTCTGCATCAAGCATTTAACGAGGGCAAAAGAATGACATAGCAAAATGCAAGAGGAAAGGTGAACTCCAAACAGGCTTGAAATACGTAAGTAGGTCACCAAACTTTTATATCAAGAAATGATTTAAAAACCCTCTCTTCTGGCATAAGTTACCTGGCACAAAAAAATCACGTTTAATTGTAAATATCTCCCTGTCTGACAGGGCTAACAAGAAAATGAATATGCTAAGCTCTACGTGTGTTGTATCAGAGAGGTACGTGTGAGACACCTTCCTCACCTACAGCCACATCACTGCTACATCCATAGCTTCTGGTGCACCTTTGGGAGTGTGTGTTCTGCTGCACCCCCAAATACTCTGGAGAACAGCAAACACAATGGAGAGCAAAAGAAACCATAAGGTATGTTTGCAGTTTTTCTACCTAAGGTTTGAAGCAGAATGGAGGGTTGGTAAAATAGAGAAATCCAGGAAAGCTGATGCAAACACAAAGAGCTGCTATGGGGAGGGCACATGGGAGGGAGGAAATGGCGCTTGAAAGAATGAAGTCCACAAGGAGTCAACTGTTGTCATCCTTTGCCTCTACACACATTGTCCCTACATCTGCATGCTTAAAAGATGGCTCTATGCAAAAAGTACAGTCCCTACAGTAACATTTAGATCTTGATAGATGTCCTTGTGCTGCTTTGTTGAGACACAGAGACGTTGGCAGGTACTCTGAGGATGGAGACGAATACAGTATTAGTATTCCAGCCTCAAGTCAACCCTGGGAAAACTCAGCCAGGGAAAGATTTCAGATCTTTCAGCTTTGCCTCTCTCAGCTCCTTAGCAAGCAGCTAGTAAACTTTACCAAAGTAAAAAGAGAGAACTCCAGGGAAGGTGATAATGCTCCTTGCAGAGAAATCCTGCTCAGCACAACCCCGCCTTGCTGCAGTCACATCTGCTCTTGCGCCAAGGGAGTTGTACTCTAGCACCCTTTGGGAAAGGACTGGTAGAGCTTTCCCCAGGAGAAATAAAAAGTCCTGCTTGAGATTAGTCCACTGCTTGCTTATTCTTGGCATTATCAGCTTTGTGGTTATGGGAGTGAAGTAATCTGACTTCAAACACAGCAAACAAGTCCCTTCCACCCTATAAAAAGCCTCCCAATTTCTGCTCCCCTGTAAGCCAGGGATCAGGCAAGGCCACAAACTTGTGACCCCTAACATGACCTTAAGGACAGCAGAGCTTAATCTTTTCATGTAATCCTCTGTCTGCCATAACAAATTGGGTCAGGCAAGTGCAAAATTCTCCATCTCTAGCATTTTTGGTATGCGTTATTTTAACTGTCACTTTCTTCTCCCACTGCACAGCTAGCACTGTGCTTTCATTATCTGTCATTTCTTTGCACCTCCAGTTATCATATAGGCTGGCTTTCACAGGCTCCTGCAAGTACCTTATCCGTTGTCTTTTGCCTGGGCGCAGGCTTTTCTTTTGTCCTCTGAGACCTTGTATCCCTGATGCAGCGCTGTAGACTCCCTCCTTACTCTGCTTAAAAAACACAAGACTTTGCCATGAAATCTGGAACCATGGTTGTTTTTCCTCAACAAGTACTCACTCTGCCTGCCCCAGGAGAGCTGCAGTCATTGAAATTGGTTTTAAATCACATTTACAAGTAGCTGCAGAACCTTGTGAAGACGTGGAAGATCCCCGCCCCATCTAGATGCCCTGGATAAGACATCTTTAAGACAAAACCTAGCTCAGAAGATACAGCATTGCAGGGGGGTCCTATTCTGAATCTTGCACTTATGAAAGCACTGAATCGCAGCATGGGTGTAACTTTGGTCTTGGGCTTCAGTCTCAACTGGGTTGAAAGAGCCAGGAAGGAGAAGGCGGCTCAGCCCTTCCCACAGTCCTTTGGGCCAGACCAACTCTGGAATAAATTAGAGAAGTTTAGTGGCTACTCTCAGTTCCACTGGCTTTTAGTGGTCTCCAGGGGGGCATTATGCTTGGGACACTGTGGATGCAATACACTGCAGCATCGTTCTGAAGAATGACTTCTAGGGGCAGGCTGAGCTCCTGCTGCCTTGATTGGAGAGTCTGGCTTCGTACAGGAAACAAACTGCAGAGCATGGACCAGTCCAAAGCCTTGAGTCATGTTTAATACACATCCTGGCCCCTAAATAACACTCCAGCAAGAGGGCAGACAGCAAAACAGAGGAGTCCTGCCTTGCTTTCACCCTACCCTGGCCGGCCAAAGTGAAATGTACATAGCTCTTGCACGCCAAAGACTGCAGCTGGAGATCTGGTCACAAAACACAACCCCAAGAGCCTATGTGGCACCAGAGAGCTGTTGTGCAGCAACGGTTCCCTTACGTTTCTCTGCTGTCATTGACGATCACCTTCCTTGTTTGCTGTGCTCTGTGGCAAGAAGAAAAGGCTTTCCTGCATTCCTAACTAAGGCTGAAGGATAAAATCAGACCCAAGCAGACATTTTGCTTGAAAAAGTCTCTAAGCATGAGGAATGCCACTCTTCCCTCAATGGCGCCATGAAGTCTGACTAACAAGGCAAGAGCTGCCCACAGTTACAATCAGGAGGTAATGAAGTCTTCAGCTGTGTAAGAGGCTGCCAGCTGGAGTCAAGGACACTACACGGGTTCCAGTTAACCCAGTCACCTCTCTTCTGAGCCTGCCCAGGACATTGCTGGGGCCCTTTTCCAGAGCCCCCAGTGGTTAATTTTAAAATAGAAGATGACAATATGGATTCCCTTCTTAATTAACAGTTTTATTAAACAACCCATTTCAAACAATAGTTAAATTCTCTAAATTTATATCATTCTATTAACCATAATCTAATCTCATTAACCTTGAAATTCCCAGTCTTAACTACCCAATTCTATACACCATGGTGCTAGCAGCTAAACTAATTAAATGACCTTCAAACTATTTCTCCTTCATGTATTGGCATTATTTATCTTTGCTCATTGCTCTCCCTTCAAGCTATCACAAAAATCTTCCCCTATGAACTCTTCTTTCATGCACTCAGTACTAGATATGCCACCACTCTTCCTTGCAAAATCCATCAGTGATGTCTCCAATTGTCCTCTAGCTAATATATTCCATCAGCGGCGACGGTTAAGTGTGCTCACTCCTTGGCTTTCATTCTGAGTACCTGATGCTTCCACATCTTCATTTATTGTGCTGTCACTCATTGTCATTTCTCAAAGAAGTCCTCAAAGCAAAGACCCGAGATTTAACTGCACATAGAGAGCTCCTGTTCACAGCCACTGGTAGAGGGAGATATTATGTACCATGATCTTCAAAAACGTCTCACTTAATCTCACTCTCTACGCAAGTTCTTCTTTGATTCCCCTAAATTTTGAGCACGTTGACCTCTTCTCAGAGTTCCAGGACTGAAGATGCCATTTCTTCCTGTGCTGATCCAGGTTTAGTTTAAAAGCCATCTCTCAAACTATTTTGTTCAATGAATTACCAAGGCAAGGGAGAGTTTGGCATTCTTGCTGTCTGATTTGACAGGGCTGGGGTTATGGCAGAAGAGAAATGTAGAGGCTATTTTCTATAAGCTATAAAGAGTTTGTGACTCCCCTGACCTTTCGGCAATAATCATTTAAGGAATAAGCTGCAGTATTTAGGGCAATGAGACTTCTGACATCAGAGCAAAACATTATCTGGCCTGCATCTAAATTAATTTGTCTAGATAAGCATGATGAACAAAATATATAGGCCTATAAATACTTATATTTAGCTTCTTTTTTTCTGGAAGTGAATGCAGAAGCAGATTTCCTTTCCCCAGTAGAGGGTATTGGGCTGCATAGTTTACTGACTGTATAGGGAAGCAGTGTACTTCAAGGAAAAGGCACAGTAAGAAGGTGCCATCAGTGAAGAAGTGTGCAGCCCACTCCAGAGAGCCCACTGATTAGCTTAAGAAGGAAGTGTTTTTCAAAGCTCACAAAGTGCCACTTCTTGTCTCTTAGTTCTTCCTTATCCTACACACATCCCTGAATTTCATCTACCTCTTTACTGCCCCTTTGCAGCTGGAGAGCTCAGTTAGACTTCCATAAACTAGAGGAGGGCCTGGAGGAGGGAAGAAGGTGACCTCTGCCTGCCTGCAACTCTGTGAACTGCAGCCCCACTTTCCTGATCACATTTCTTTGGACTTGAATATACACTGCCATTGTGGAATGCCTTTCCCTCTACCACCACCTCTTCAAAATAAACATGAGAGTTGAAGCCTTTCACAAGATGGGCTGCAACACAGCTGAATTTGCATCTTGGCTAACTAAATAAAGGCATTTGGAAGGACACCATCTACTATGTTTAAGTCTAAACATCTGGCAAGAATTTTAAATCGGAACTGCTGTACTGGGTCAGATCAATGGTCCAGCCAGGCCAGCACCCCCTCTCTGGATGCCACAAGAAAGAACATGTAGGAACAGGATCTCTCTTGGTCTGTTCTATCCTCCCAGGCCATGGTTCAAGCTGTTCCTCATTCAAAAGCTGCCTCCAGATCCTAATGGTCAGAGGTTGCCTGCAGATCTCTTCTGAAATTCACTCAGTGTTTTTCTGAACCAACTGATACCTCTGGTCTGCACAACATCCTGTGCCAGTGAGATCCACAATTTAATTACACAACTGGCAAAGAAGCACTTATTTTTATTTCTTTTAAGATGCTGATTATTCCATTAGGAACGCCCTTCCTCTAGCAATGTGAAAAATAGCACACAGTCTAGCTGATGTTTTTACACCTTATTTTATAAATCCTGAAGATGTTCCCACTCCCTATCCTCTCTCTTCAAAGCTGAAAGTTCTAATTTATTTATTATCCCCAGGTATAGATGCCACTCTGTGCTACTGATCATTCTCACCAGAGGATTCTCAAATCTCTCCTAATTCTGAGCAGATATAAGGACAGTATTTTTTCTGGTGAGTGTAGTTAAGCGCTAGAAGAGCTCACCCAGAGAAGCTGCAGCATCTGCATGCCTGGAGATACTAATAACTCGATTGGACAAGGCCCTCAGCAACCTCTTCTAGATTCACAGTTTGACCCACTTTAAACATGAGATTGGTCTAAAGATCTGAAGACCCTTCAACCTATTTTTTTTGGTGGATTCTGTGATTCTACTACTACTGAAGTCTTTTTAGACAAGGCAGATGCAGAATTAAATGTCATGTTCAAGGTATGGGCTCACCATGCCTTTATCCTGCTACAAAGGAAATGTTTTCTGGGATGTTTCTTGTTTGCCTTCTGATAATTGTCTAGTATTTGATTTTCCTCTCTGCCCTTTGATAAGCAGTAAGCTGCTATTCCCAATGGTCTACTTCTGAGTAACAGCAGCTCATTTGAGTCCATCATTGTATGTGTATAGTTAAAATTGTTGTTCCTCACGTGCATTACTTTGCACTTGTCAACACTGAATTTCATCTGCCATCTTACTGCCCACTCAGTATTGTGGGCTCCTTCTGAGGCTCTTCATACTCAGCTTGAGATCTGACTATCCCGAACAGCTCTGTGGCATCTGCAAGTAAGGTTTTACTGAAACTGCAAGGAAGATAAATCTCTTCACCATTATGTTTCTTTAAATACCAGTGAAGGGAGTATTCCCAACTGCTCGGATTGTGAGCACTGCAAATATTTCATTAATTCAGGAAAGCCTAAGAGTGAAATAAACAAACCTAGGTCCCATTTACATTACAAAGAGCTACTATACTGCAGAACTGGCTACAGCACAGGAGCCCAAGACACAGCTATTACAGTTCAGCACAGGAATACAGCTCAGTCCCCTCAGGATGGGGTTTGCTGCCCCGCATGCTGCCGTTGTAAGCGGTCCTTCCCGTGTTTGCAACTCTTGTGTTCCTGTGGACCAGAAAAACTGAACGTTTTCTCTCTGGCATCTGGGTTGAGCAAAATGCCAAACAACGTTAGCAGCAAAGGTAAATCAGGTTTCTAAAGCACACACTTGTAACACTCAAAGGGGGTTAACACCAGAAGGTGATTTGTTTTGTGAAAATGATTAACCTGACAGCAGTTTCTTTAAAATAAATCAATGCCGTCATTTGGCCCAGCCAGGGGGTCCTGGGTGGGGATGCAACTGCTCTCCCCTTTCCTGGGGATGTGGGCCCACAGCTCCCCTTCCCTTTGCACAGGCGACAAGACACGTGCCCTGCGTTCCACACTGCAAGGGTTTGGCTGTGCTGACCCTCCTTTGTGGGGCAGCCGGTCCAGCCCCACCCTGTGTATCAACAGACAACCATCTCTTACAGATGGCCTGCTGGCACAGCAAGCCTTCTCCAGAGCCTCACCTGTACTCCCTCTCCTGAAAGAGCCGAACAAGACTGGATCTGCCACACTCTGTCCCGGATTGTGTGTAGGTTCAGTCCCTCAGCAATCTCTGAAGCAGGGGCAGCCGTCAGCAAATCCTGCTTGTTAGCGAATATGAGCACTGGGACTCCACTAAGCTTTTCTTCATCCAAAAGCTCAGCCAGCTCCTGTATCGTTTACAAGGGAGTGGGGTGGGGGAAAGACGGAGAGAGGGAAGGGAAGAAAACCTTCAACCACCAGTGGTTGTCTCTAATTAGAAATATATTTAGGGCAAATGCTAGAAGAGCATGTTCCAATGAAACCTAGATCTTATTATAAGAGAGCAAAAATGTATACAATCATCTCTGCCCAAGGTTCAAAAGCTATTTCTTCCAATTACAGGTTACAAAAATCTTCATCTTAGTCTGAAATTAGCAGTTGCCTTAAAGGCTACAACTCTGTGTTTTACCAGTCCTGCTCCCAGGAGACCAAAATTGATGAAACAGCAAAAGACATGTAAATTGGCAGTATGAGGAATCTGTCTTAAGTTATTGCCTGACTGGCATTTGTACCTGAGCAGCCACTGACAACAGCCTGATATTGCTAACAGTGAGTTTCAGGGGTTTGTTCCAAGTTTTATACATTGCAACTTGAGCAGGAGAGGATTTTTTTCATCCCCAGAAATGGAAATCTCCCTCCCACAAGAAAGCGTTTTTGAAGGCATTGGCTAACTGAAGACAAGCTAGCTTTACTAGCTGGATTTTGGCTCCATATGCACAGCACACATTGGGTGGCATCTTGAGAAATGGGTTTGTTCGTTCAAAACTGGGTGACTCAAAGAGACTTTTTTAATAGCTCAAATCTGAATCTGCAGTGGATCAACAGCGGCTGAAATGCTTCATGTCGAGAGTTGTGCAATGGCTTCATGTGAAACAAACAGAGTCTCAAGTCACTTCCCTATGTAAAGATATGACAAACCCAGCAGAACTCGAACCTGTAAGGACTGCTGGCATTGCAGATAGATGAGTACATGAGATTTTTGTGGGCTCCTTAATCAGCTGGAGAGCTCTTATGCTTTCAGATACTGTCCTAACATCTTTCATCCACTGGCTAGAAAATTCTCGATTATATGAGTGCAGTTGGGGAGATGCTGAACTGCAAAAGAAATCTGACTCCATCGCCCCCAAAAGCAATGTTTGGTTTGAAACCAGGATGAGAGAATGGAGTTACAGAGTTGGCTGGGACATTTTCAACAAAATAGGTCTTTCATGCAACACAGCTGATTTATTGAAACCAAAAGTGTTTGTGGAAATACAAGGGGTCCAGGCTGACTCCACCTGACTCGGGAAGGTGCTCTAAGCATCTGCTTCCTCTCCCCCCTCTCTTTTGCCCAGTAAGTATTTAATTGCTGACATAAAATGAAATAGCTCCAGCAGGGGAAAGATTCCCCCCACCCCGAGAACAGCCAATAGTTCTGCTGTTATACTGTCCATGACACTTGAGAGGCAAAAGATCAAGTGTCTCCTTCAAATCAAACAGAAGAGAGGGCTTTAATCTAAATCTCCCATTTCTAGGGGATAAATCTGTTGCTAGCTATTTTGGGACAATGTCACTTCCTGAATTTTACAAAAGAAAGTTCAAAAGTCCTATTTTTGTTCTATCCTAAAACACAAAATGTTGCAAAAGATCAAAACTTTGCAAAACAGAAATCTTATTTTCTGGCCAGTCTTAGTTAGAAAGTTCTTAATTTTGGGTTTTTTTTTCAATTACATCCAAAAGACAATCAAGTCAATATGATTTCCATTTCAACTCTGTAAATAAGAAAACAGGATTCCTCAGGGTCTTGGTTTGGCAAGGTTTAAAGGATTTAGAGAAGTTTTTGCTTTCAGTCTTAGGCTCCATTTGCTATTATTGTACAACTTCAATGAAAACCGTTCCATTTAAACGGAATTAGGCTACCTATTTTCCTTGTTTCACATCTACCAAAATAATCTGCATTGATGTTGAAAGGCAAGTCTCTTGAAATGCAAATTTCCCTCATAAACAACAAAACCATCTTCCTAACTTTTGTGAGCAAGGGGCACTCAGAAGCACTCAATTACTTCAAAGGAAGCTGGGCATAAGTAACTTACCTGACCCGTTTCTTCAAACCTCTTCCTATCTGCGCTGTCAATGACATAGATCTGAAAAAGAAAAGAGAGAAGTTATTCTTCCCAGAAGACACTATTCTACAATATGACGTGCTTAAGTGAGCTGAGCCTAATGATTATGCTTTTGGGCACAAAGATCCCCAGTATTATTTAAAGCAAAATTTGACAAAACTTCAAGACACAAAGATCCCCAGTATTATTTAAAGCAAAATTTGACAAAACTTCAAGACATTCTGAAAGGAGAGGAACCACCTCTTTTAAAGTGGGGGTTGGGGGTGGAGGGGGTGGGATGGAGAGCCACGTGGGTAGGATCAGAAGGGACCTGGGGGCAGTACTGAGGATGCTCTCACCATCTCCACAGCATTTGTTATCCGAAGAGAACAGGTATCTGCCTGGTATCTTTCCAAATGACCAGTTTACAAGCTGAAGCTGAGCACAGGAAGACAAAACCTGCGGAGCCAGACATGGTCTAGCAAAGTGTACAACCACTGCACTGGTGTGACTATGCCGTGCTGCCCTCTAGCAGGACCCATCACCTCAATAAGCCACCAAGGCAGACAATGGCACTCGGGGCAGGTGAATGCATTTAGGACACTCAGTTCCTCTCCATCAAGTGATCCTACTGCAACATCCTGGAGCAAGTGGCTGGGGAGAAGGGCTGGATGGAGCCTGTGAGACTCCAGCTACCAGCTTGTCCACCAGGATGATGGTCTAGTGTGAATCATCCCTGGTCTTAAGGTCCTTTCCAATCCAGACCATTCTATGATTCTATGATGGAGAAAACGGGGAGCAGCTGGCTTATGAAGACAGAGAATACAATCCTGCCACCCTCTCAGGGCTGGGCACCACATTTCATGGTCCACAAGGAGGTCCCAGCCAGACACTTGTTCCCTGGTATGAAGAAGGGTGGATCCCCCAGCCCGCAGGCTCCCTGCCTTGGGAGGGGCTCTCCACCCTCTCCAATACCACGGCATGTACCCATTTCTGTCTGTAAATGCAAACAAGACCTCAGTGAAGGCAGCTCTAGGTCTACACAGGCTAAAAGGCTCCTTAAAGGTCCCCCTAAATACATGCTTATTAAGTCCGGCCACCCTCCTTACCCCTAGCAATGCTGTTGCTGTTGAGATCATACAAGTATAAAGCTACATCTAAAGAAACAGGGAACCCCAGTTTAACACTTGGGCAAGAATAGCCTGATATCCTTTTTTCATTATGTGGTAGGGGAAGGTTTTTGAAGGAGAAGGGCACTGGGACAGCAGATAGGGACAGGACTGGTGACAAACACTGAGCATTTTGCTTCCAGTCCCTGCCATTCCCCATCAGCAGTGATTGAAGCTGCTAGCATGTCATCTGCATGCTCTTTGGTGGCTTACAGGGAGCAAGTGTCAGCCTGGTTTTCAGGGAATAGATGAGCACAGCACCCCGCCATCAAGATAAATGGCATCCTTGCAGGCAGTCTCAGCATAAGAGTCCATGCTTCCAGGATAATTTTGACCAAATAGTAGGGGGAGGGAAGATCTCTAGCACCAGTATCTATTAAACTGTAGGCACTCCCTTAATGAGCACTGTTACATTTGTTTGAAACGGGACCAAACATGCAGAGGGAGAATCTATGCCAGGGCTGAGGAGGTGACCCAGCACCTCTCAGACCTCTCTGTTCATCCCTCAAGGTCTTGTGGTCCCCCCAGGCCAGGCTGAGGCACACTGACAGAGGCTGGGGTACACATGGCGTAGCTGCATGGTGGGGATGCGTCAGCAGTGCACACTGTTGGAGCTACGTGATGGGAAAGGCACACCATGACACACAGCCTCTCCCCACAACAGGATCCCAAGCACGGGCACCAATACTGTGTCAGCTACGCCTGTCCTCTCTGCCCTTCCCGAGCATCCACCCTGTGCATCCTATCTGGGGGTATGAAACACACAAAGAAAGGAAGAAGCTGCAGTGCAGCTGTGCTCTGGGGTGAAACTGGACTGCCGACTGTCCTCCTGTGGGACATCTCAGGGGAAGCTTAGCAACACATAAATGAAATAGTTAAGTGCTTTCTCAACTGAAAGTCGGAACCTCCTCTATTACAGTGCTTCTGTAACTGGCAAAGCAGACATCTGAGCCCAACCAGCCAGGCTTTCCCCTGCACTACTCCCATTCCTTGCTAGGGAGCTATTTTGCAAGATGAGAAGCAAAGACAACAGTGCTCCGGGCAAAAGCCACAAAAGCACAGAGAAGGTAAAGTATGTGCAGAGTGCCTACTTCCAAACCAGAAAGCACTGTGCCAAATAGCTGCAGGTGCCTGTCTGAATATGCAATCAGCCAGATATCCACACCTTATTTGCCTGGGTTAAGCTTCCAAATATCACAGGTGTGTGATGCAAGACCAAGCTCTCATTCAAAGGCACCTGCATGGATTTGAATTTGCAATCACTTCCTGCTTTTTCATACTCCTTAGAGGGTCCTTTCTGCTTTGTGCAATATAGTTTAGGAGAAGACAGAAGCAGGGGGTCCTGGGAACTGTAGTGTGTCTCATCTCCACGTTCCTTCTATGGCCAGGGCCACACAAGAGCCTGTTTCTGGCTGTGGTGCTCAGTAGCACAGTTGGTCGCTTTGAACAGCCACCAAGTACAGCTTGTTGGAGAAATGAAGCTTGAGAAATTCTTGTAAATTGGGTGCCTCCTTAGAGCGACATGCCAAAACAAAACCTGGAGTAAGTGGGTTGGGCAGAAATTACAAGTGGTGGGACTGGATGAAGAAATAACACAAGGGATAAATTGGCTTAATTTACAGATGCACAACCTGCACCAGGTTTGTCAGGGGATACGATTATTGGCTAGAACAGGGGTGAGGGCTAGTAGAAGACAGAGAGAGAGTCACCAGCACATACTTGATCCCAGCTCTGGTGTGTATGGACATAGCAAAGCACTGCGCTAACATGCTGGCAGCCCACATTCTGAGGCTGGGTGTCAGAACAGAATGCAAGGAGGGGAGCTTAGGTCCATCTACACACCAGTTATTCCCTCTGAATTCACAGTGCTGCTTGCCCCAAAGTGACTCTGCTTCTACCTATCCCTTTTCTTACTCATATGAAAATAGGGGTTTTCTCTACATTGTTTTAACTGGGATAGAAGGAAGACAGGGAAAACAATTGCTTTCATCTCCTTCATCCTTCAAATTCACCTTTACTTCTGCACCTCCCATGTAGCACACACTGGGAAAGGTGGAAGCCCACAGGCCAGTGTAGCTCATTGTCTTTGCCAGCAGGCTTCCAGATACCGTTTTGTGGTTGTACTGTCTCTGCAGCCTCAGCAACTGCCAACAGCAGGCAAAGAACCCTGGCTGCTGCTTTGCAGTGTTGACTTTGATCTGCACACCTACTTGCCTCCCCACCACACACAGCTACAGAGCTTGGACTCAATGGACACAATCACCTCACAGCCATGCCATGTCCCCTTCTCGATGGCCTCAGAGGAACATGCAAAGTGTGTTCTGCTAGTTTCTCAAATCCTGATCTTTCCATTACTCTTTGCAAAAGCAACCAACAGGGTGTGTGCTCTGGTGGCTGCTCTCAAACATCAGATTCCAAATTCAGGCTGAAAAGGGGGAAATCTGCAAAAGAGATTACTGAGGGTTTATCAGTTCCATTTAAGTAACAGCTTCATTTGGACACGGTTTTCTAAACCTGCAGGTGCAACCAGGCCCTTCAGGATCCTGACATGAGCCTTGGAGTAGAGTCCTATTCCTAGCTACACTGATCTTGCTGTCGAAGTGCATGGAAGCTCACAATATATTAGTATGTATGTGACAGGAGGGAGGAAGGACATCTTTCTGAGACAGCTTCCCACTTTCTCATGGGAGCCCTGCAGTCTTTGTCTTTTCTCTGTTCCCACAGGCAGCACTGCTTGGGGTGGGGAGAGGCCTGAAGCCCCCATCCTTGTGCCTTCACCCTGGCACAAGGCTGCATGTTAGAGGTGATATTTGAAACTAGTCAGGGCAGCACTTGGAGGGTCCGAGGGTAACTGCAGTAATCTGTAGCTAATTCTGAGGTAATTACAGCGAAGTTGTCAAAAACATTAAAGGACAATCTTATGATTAAAGGAGCAAAAGAAAAAACAAGGGGGTCTCTCTGTGTCCCTCAGTAAGAAGCTTTCCCATATGACGCCAGACATAGTATTTAATTCTGTTGAGCCTCAGTTTCCCCAACTAGAAAACAAAGGCACCATACTGACCTACCTCTACACATGAGGCTTAAGTCACTAATGCCCATGACAGACCTTCAGAGTCTCCAGTGAAAGGACCTATAGATGGGTATACTACAAGTTATTGATGTTCTTTCATCTGAAGGAAACTGAGATGAGAAGAAAGGAACTGGCTATAACCAGCACCATCCTGTGAAAGTAAAAACATGCAACTGAAAGATTTCTCCAAACATCACTGTATTTTTCTTACTGCACCCAACCAATCTTGCCATTTCACTCAGAGTAACTCCTGTTACAATGGCAATGGTGTTGCTGAGGACTTGGACATTACATTACTTGTTCCTGACTTCTGGCTGAGACCTTGGAAAGCTATTGCATGAACACAGCATTCAATTGCAGCCAATACTCACAAGGACGTCAGTGTTTTCAAAATAGTTCCTCCAGTATGGCCTGATCTTCCTCTGTCCGCCTATGTCCCATACGTTCAGCTTGAAGCCTTGAGACTGTACACTTTTGATGTTAAAGCCCTGGAAAGAGCAGAAACAAAGCCACATAGAGCATAAAGCTGAATGGCTGGAGCACGTTCATAGGCAGACATTAACACCTTATATATCCCATGCCTGCAATGTGCAGTGAGATGGGCTGGGCAGCCATAAAGATGGATTGGCTGTGGGAGAGGCACTGGTGAAAGCGAACACAGGTGCCAAACCATCAGTTTGCCAGTGTTCTTGGGTCAAGGGTTGATGCTGTCATGGCTATGGAGATATACGATGCACTTACTTAGTGCCCTGGGAGGGCTCAGCAGGGTGGGTGCAGGAAGAGGTGGGAGAGCTGTAGATAAGGAGAAAACAAGGCCGCTGTGAGAAGCGGGACTAAGCTTGTGAAAGCTGAGTAGAGAGTCCCAGCTAACATGAAGCCAGAGGTCTCTGCTCAATTTGACATGACACAGCTAATGCTGGGCTTAAAAGACCAACAGCTGCATGTCTGCAGGGTCAATTTCATCAATTAGAACACCAACTGAAAGTGCATTCAAGTACTAACACAGGATGTGGCGTGAGCTAGCAACGTACTGCCACACCACCCAGGGGACTGGGGCTTGGAATTGGGGTATCAGGGCTGGGAGCTTTGGGAGGCAGCTACGAGGTGGGGGGAAGTATCTCCCATAGCTCTCTAGCAACCTCCTCTGGTCAACATAGGAGCAATGCTGCAGTGCTTCTTATGGGAGACATCCTTCTACCCAAGCCCAGGGTTCAAAGAAAGAGGACCACAGGCATCAAGAGAGGGAGTGCTGGAATATGCAGGACCCTCAGAGCTGGCTGGGTGAAAAATGCAAGGAGACAGGGCTTGTCCAATACTGCAGCATCTTCTGTATATGTTCCCTATTTGGCAAGGACAAGAGGAACAAAGTCTCATCCATGCAACCCTAGCATGACCAGCATTCATCCACTTTTACACTACCTGGCAGATCCGGCGTGACGTGATGCTCTCTGGCTCCTTCAGGGAGCCTCCTCTTATGCAGAAAACACACAAAATGGAGCCCCAGGCTCCAGTTGCTCCCACTTTTACTGAAACACTCTGCTGAATCATTAGTGTTTTGTATAATAAGGCAGGTGGGACCACAAGAACTGCTTTGGGCGGGAAAAAGCCTTCCTCACCTGTGTTGGTGTGATGTGGCTGATGTCCTCAGATGCCAGCTGTTTCAGGAGTGTTGTCTTGCCTGCATTATCCAGTCCCAAGAGGAGGATTCTCACCTCCTGGTCTGGGGCACTTTTCAGTTTACGCAAGATTGACAGTAAACCCTAAATCCACAAAAGAGACTGTAGCTGTTATTTGCCCCCCACCGTGCCATGCCCTCCTCCCTTGAAACGGGTTCTCTATGGCAATGGATCCCAAGACACATTGAACCCCTTCCTGCAGTCCCTATTCTCATTTCCTCTTCTCCTCCTCCCCCTCATCTCTTATTTTCCTTCATCTCAGAGTGTATCGACAAAGTCTCAGACAGCACAAATGTCACTCAGTGGGGTGCACCACTGGCTGCATTGCTCTTGTCACACAGCTGTTCGTCATTCCCTGTGCCAGGAAGCCAGTGGCCTACACATACCATGTGTAGGATCTGCAAACCACACACTTGCGAGCTCTTCATTATCTTTCATCAGAGGGAAAACCCCATTAATTTAATCTCTCTCCTAGTTAACTGCAGGTTACTATGTACCTGACATCAGTTCTTTTCATAGTAACTCCCTGATCAGCTCAAACCCCGTTTATCTGTCTAAAACATGCCGGACCCATGGGGCACATGCAGTTCTGGTTCTCAGGATGTAACACTTAACAACTATCTCAGATCACCACACATGCTCACTAAGAAAAAGCACAGTGGATTTCAGTCATTAGCCAGGCTCAGCTCTCTGAGCTGACAGTATCACTCAGGATTAGGAAACAGAATATGCAGGTCAGCTCATTTATAACCACACACATCCCAGCAGCACACCCAAGCTTTTGTCAGTGCCACCCCTCAGAGACCTGCATCTCTCTAAAATGGCTGGAAAAATACTCTGGATCCTGGCATGTAACCGAGAGCTGCAAATCACCCCACTTCCAGCTGCCTCTGGCTGCCCAGCCACAGAGGAGAGGGGCAGTTGCAGCCAAGGGCATGGGAGCAGGCTGTGAATTCATGACTGCCCATGTGTCCTTGGACATGTTGCTGCACTGCTCCTCAGAGCCTGAGCAGTGCACGCTGCAATGAGACCCAGCCTGGGGACACAGATGCTCTTGAAACTCATTTCCTTGAGCAAATCCAGGAGAGGGATACACCTACAGCCCCTTCCGGGGCCATCAGGACTCCTGCTTGGTCTCTCCCAGACAATTCCCATCTTGAAGCCCACTAAAATCCAGAGGCAGGAGCAAAGTTCAAGTGTCAACACAAACCTAGGCCCACGGGGGCCCATCATCTCTCAAGCTTTTTTGTTCTCCTGATTGCAAAATGGAGACAATGCTTCTTGTCGACCTGCAAGGGTGAATCAGTTAAATGCCACAAAGTGCTTTGTGGCTATGAGGAACTACACCCTCTAAATATTCCTGCTGGGAGCCAAAGACTATTTGAGCCATGAAGGTTACTCCAAATCCCCTCCAGATCACGGCAATCAGAAACTTGTCCTCACGATGAAGAGCTGCAGGACATGGCACAACCATCACGGCTGCAGCACGGCTGAAGCAATGCCCTTCTCCCAGCTCCTGAAGAGCCCCATCTCGGCCCTTTGGGAACTGCTGCTGCCCACTACTGCTCATCACACCGCTCTGAGCTGGGGAGTGTTTGGAAAGGACACAGCACTATCAGTCGCAATGCCAAAACTTCCAACAGTGCACCGAGATTCAAAAGCACGTGAGACTTGATCCACTCCTCTGAGCATTTCTGATTCAAAAGTTACTTATTGGTTTCCCATTTAATTTCCAGACACAGCTCAAAATACATTCATGATGTGTAATAAAACAGGGAGAAGAGACAGAACTTAGTAAAAATGGGTCTGAAGGATATCTGTAGAAAGAACAGGACTGCCACTGCTGCTGTGCTTTTAAAAAGCACTGTGGAAAGCTGAGGTTCAGAAATTCAGAGCTGGTGCAAGGAACAGCAACACTGCGGTCTCACAACCCAGTAAGCATGCTCAGGGGATCACCTATTTCATAAACAGGCTGGCAAAAACTTGGGAATTCAGGCTCCACTCAAGAGCTGTTAATCAGGAATGGGCTCTGCTTGGTAGAGGGTGCCATGCCTCACAGTACCATCCCCAAACTGCTTGTAGCCAAGGCACACAGGCCTGTAACATCACATGCTGAGCCCCGAGGGCCAGATGCTCCCAGCTGGCTCTCACCATGGGCCATAGCTAAAGGATTTGGAGGGCTGTGCTCAGCATAGCCAGAGGAAAGCCCTCCCAGCACAGCAGCTCATCTCCCCTGCACAGTGCCCAGCCCATGTTCTACCCTGATGATGGTCTGTACTTCCACACGTCCAAGGGGAAAGGAACAGCAGCAGAAATACCTCTCATGCTTACTTGTTTACATGCATGTCCTGACTGCCCTTGACATCATTAAAAGTACAAGTTTTCACTGCATGACTAGCAACACATTTTCTTTTCACCTGCAGTCATATTTATAGTTGTGTTTGTTGGCTTGTAAATCCATGGATTTCAGCTCAGTAGGGACCACCCCACTTCTCATGGGCCTCACCCAAAGCCAACGCACACCGGCCAAAGTACCACTGGCCACTTCAGAGAGCTCTGAATCAGGCCCTATTATTTCAGTTTATTGCTCACAGTTAAAAAAGGAAGCTGTTGAAATGCTAATCCTATTCACAGCACCACTTGCTAAGTGCAGAGCAGTGTATCCCAGAGCCGATCAGGATTAAGAGCCTTTATGTTTCAGAATTCAACTCCAAAATACTGAGCGCAAAGAAATGTATTACAAAGTATTGCTTATCTTCCATGGAACAATTCTCAGGGGTCTCAGGGAAGAGGAACAGTTGTAAATGTTAATAGAGCTTCTCCCATTGTAGATGGATGCTATTTCTGGGCCAGTATGACAGCCTATGAGAAAATGATCAGCATCGTTCCATATTCTACTCAAGTGACACTGCTGCATGGCTGATCACAGGATTATCTGGGATAGCCAATAGAAGCAAGGATATATATAGAAATAAAAGTATTCTCTAAGGTATAAAGTAAGCTGATTTAAAAGGCTGGAAGACAAGCGAGCCAACATAGAGAACTGGACTTTATTTCAGTAGCTGCCAGCATAGGTTACATGGTCTGCATATACAATTTAAATCAAGAGCCAAAGAATAGTATTGATTACTATGACTGTTACTATTTTGTAAATATTATTTAAAGCTTGCACCCAGCATTCTCCCTGTACTGGGTGAAGATTTAAGATGAAGGAAAGCCATGCACAGATGGGTTTCTAACATGATTTTTAATTGCTCTTATGAGCACACTGGCTAGGAAGACAGAAAGCATTTCCTGACAGCTTAGTAGACTGGAAAAAATAACTCAGACAAGCTCCCTGCTGCATGCCACCACTAAGTGGGACAAGCAGCCCTTATTGCACACACGATTGACGAGCACTTCTCTGCTCACAAACACAATGCTGAAACTAACTTGGGCTGATGACAGTCAGGTAGTAACCCTTTCTCATGATGGAATGTCAGGTAGAAAACCAAGAAAGGGAAATATTTGGTGAAGAGAGGATGCTCGGAAGCAACAGGAGAGGAGCAGGCCTTTGAAGTGGGGCAGCAAACAAATGCCTCAGCACTGGGACTTAACTTGCAGTGAGGAGGCAGGATGCCCAGGACACCTGCATGGCAGCCAGGCCAGCAGTAATCACTCACGGAGGACTCCAGTGTGAGGGACAGGACAAGTCTCAAGCAGGACAGAAGAGATGTTGGCTGGCTGAGAGCTGCAGAGACAGCTCACAGGAGTATAAGGGCAATGTGTCATTTGTACAAAACCAAGCAGACTGCGGCATCTATAACAGAGGAGGGAACTGCAGATGCTGTTTGGATAATGAACAGCACAGCGTGGCAGCGCAGGCAGCCTCTGGAGAGGGGCAGGCAGACAGAGCAACTCAAGGCTGGGCCCAGTCAGCCAGCAACCACTTCTTGGTCACCTCTGGGTTAAGCAAACTATGTTTTATATCAGACTGGCTTGTTTAAAAACATCTTTGTCCTTGGTGGAGAGGGTTTTCTTTACAAGCACCATGAGGAGACAGACTGATGGGGTCAGCAATGAGGAGACTGTGTTTTCCAGACAGTGAATGGGGACATACGAGAAGAATGTCCTGGCAATTACTGTGAAATCAGAGTGGGGCATTAAATTCAGAGATGCAACTAAATGGGCAAGAGCACTCATAAACACATTGAGCATGAAAGCAAAGCTAACCATCTTATTAGCATCCTTCAAAAAACAGGGATGTGTGGTTTTATGAAAGTATATCATTGCTAGGTTTAAAATAACCCTTGAATTATCAAAGGACTTTCAGTTATAGCACCATGCAGTAATCCTATTCTCTTAAAAAAAATAAAATACAGACATACATAAAAATACAGTGACATTTATAGTCCTAGCTAAGGGTTTTGTGGGTTTATTCAGCTTTAAATCCACGCTGTATATGGGTCTTTTGAACTAGTTGATGCATGTAACTACATCCTGTACCACAGAAGCCGCTAAAAGGAAGATTCACTTTATAAGCCAAAGCAAAAATTGGTTTGGGACAAATAGAGCATTGAGATAATCTGTTTAAATATTGTATCAGATTGGCAATATAAAGCCATAATGGAAAGAACAATTTCCCCTTGTACTCAGGACTGGATATGCAGAGCATGGATAAAGCACAGCCCACAAGCTGCTGCAGAGCACAGTTGATTCTTATTAGGAAAGAGGAGTAAATGTATTCTGCTTAACTTTATTAGCCACAAAGCTCAGATAATTAATTTAAAATAAAACCAACCTCAGTCACCAGCAACTGCTTATATACTAGACATGGATATTTAGCTAGAATCAAATCAACTCACCAGGAGGCAATACAGCCACAAAACTCAGCACCTCAGACTGCTGCTGCGACCACATCTCCTGCATCTCTACATCCCTGCATGGACTCCTCTTCCCCTCTGCTGCAACCACGAGTCACTTGGCTTTAAAGTCAAGGCCGTCCCCAGCCAAGCGCATTTGCCATGGAGGTGATGGCTCCTGTGTCCCCATGGTTTGTGATGCCAGCCCCAGCACTGCTGAACTCTATCCTTAAACCTTTGTGCCTTTCCTACAACTGTGGGAGAAACTTGACAAAATACCCATAAAACTACCCTGTGATTTTCTTGCTAATTCCTTCTCTGCCACACCTACAATCCTTACTAAAAGTTTAGGCAATGAACATGCCAAGTTTGAACCTGTCTTGGACTCTCCTTGCTGGTATCACTTGGTTATCTCTCACCTCAGGCAAAGCGTTGTTTCCATGGCATGGGGAACAGCTCCATGTTCTGCCTGCACAGCACCTAGAGCAGCTTTGGACAGCAGCTGCCTTTTAATTAAGCAATATGGTGGCAGTTCACCATTTTTAAAGAGTAAGTTAAAGACAGAAGGTGCACGTGATGGTTTCAGAAGTCTCACAGGAGACGCTGACATGGAGAAGGATGAAGGGCTCAGTTGAGCCAAATATCCTGCCTTCAACAGTGGGTATTTGAGGCTACATTTGTCATCCATGGTGAAATCCTGCATACATAGAGCTGGAGGAGGGGAGTCCTTTTATGACAACTGCACTGATTAGCTGATGTCCTGAAGAATGACGTTTGATTACCTTTATCTTCGGCTGCAGAACTGCAAATGTCACTAATGGTCATAAAATCACCCAGTCTTTTTCAAAATACAACCGAAGGAAATTAATCTATTGAGCACAGTTTATTCAATACTTCTTACTCTGGCAAAACTCCCAAAAAATCATTTGCTTGCTGCATGTCTCCACCATATGGTGTCATTCAATGCAGACTTTCTCTCCGGCATTGAAATCCAAGATTTAATGGAGCCGAATCACCTACAGAGTTTTTCCAGCTCAAGCCTACTAACACAGTTTTCTGTCAAAGAGGTCGCACAGCACTTGCTGGTTTGGTATATTAACCACGGCCAGCATGAATCCTGCTTTCATAATTAAAATCAAACTCTGGTTTTAGCAAGTTTGAAGGAAGCATTTTGCACAGAGAAGAACTAATGCCCAGCACTGGACAATGTCAGCAGCCTTTATCTGGTTTCAGAACTTGACAGTCTCTGAATATACTGTCCTATCTGCAGGTAGTTTCTCGTATCAATGTCTCAGCAACCAGAAAACTAAACCAGAAACATGGGACTGTACTGGGAAACTAAAGCAGTGAGGCACTATTCAAACTCTCAAAAACATTTTCTTTTTAATGCGGCCATTTTAAATAGAACCTTACCACCAAGTAACGAGGGACAAAATAAAGAAATTATGGGTACTATGTACACCTACAGTAGGCAACAGATAGATACTGGTTTTGCTATAAACATGAGCTCAAGACCAGAAGTAAGATGCATTTAGCTATGCTGGCATTTCATCCTCCACCACATGTGCCTAATGTCAGCTAGACGCTCCATGACTCAGTTTCCTCAGCTGTAAGATGGGGCCATGCTTTGACAACCCTGGTTTTGACATCAAGATGGCAGCTTCAATCAACAGGCTTAGAAGAACACCAGCATCCTGTGGCCCCACCGCTGATCAATAACATACCAGAGACTGCTATTACAGTGATGAGGAAGCCACAAGCTCTGCTTCACACAGCATTCCCAAGGCTTTGGAAAGCAGCGTATCCTTTCATGTAGCAGCCTCCCCTTGCCCTTGATGTGCACCCACCACAGATGCTGCTTAACGGCGTCAAAGACTTCAGTGCTGCACATCCCTCATGCTATGCAGCTTTATGGCTCATCTTCCCCTCTGTGCTCCACCTATGACCTTCCACCACCTCTGCCCCACAGCTGTGAGAAATGCTGGTCTGCTCTGCAGAAGGAGACACTTCCCCTCTGCACTTACTCACTTGGATGAACACTGAAATCATTTAAACCTCAACATTAACCCTCTTATCACTGGTGTTGGAGCAAGCAGTTATTGAAGGGCATTTAAGCACTTTCCAATGCAATCATGACACACCAGAAACACGCTCACGGCAGCTACCACAGCTCACATGACAAGCAGTAAATTGTCCCACCAAGCTGCCTAGATCATTTCTGACTGCTGACCCACACCCCCAGGCTGCCATAGCTGCTTTGGATAGATTTGCTGCTCTTTCAGAGTTTCTACACTAAGGATTATTCTGGTTAGTGAAAGTTGAGACTAGAGATAGTGAGCACTCTCACTGGGTAGAGCAATGCTCTACCCAGCCCAGCCCAGCCACCAGGCACCCCGAAGTGCCACCCACCCTGCCAGAAGGGCTGTAATTCAAATAACAACTTCCACAAATGGGAAATAGACAAAGAAGTAGTAAAATGGTGTATCAAATAACATGAGCACTGGGAAACACCCAACCCACCCTCTCCACACACACAGCACTCAGATAACAGCAGCCAGACCCTGAACTCCACCAGCTTATCGGGACATCACAAGGCAGAAGAGCAGATTTGGCCAGCAGCAGCTGCAGGAAAAATGTGTCCCACAAAGCACTACACTGCTGGAGGCAGCTGCCTTCATCTTTACAGCAGATGTCCATCCTATATGGATGCTCCATCATCAACTGATCTAAAATAGAGCAGATCCCACAGATCTTATCTCAATCTCTTTCTCTGTGGCCCAGGAGGTGGGGATGCAGCCAGAATTAACCCAGGGAAGATGAGCTGCCTTTGCTGCTCTTGCTTATTCCTCCTCCTGTGCTGCACACTTGCATGAATCCAGCTTGTATACACAGGGCTCCTGGACCAAACACAACTTGGCCCTTGGGAAAGCTTTTTCCCCACTGCTGTTTCTTTCTGCCTGTGCTCTCTGCACATGATGCATGTTCAGCAGCAGCTCTCCCCACCTACTGCAGCTCTCTCTCACCACCCCTCACCCAGCAGCCCCAACCCCTCCTTCCAGTCCTTGCTGGACTTTGCCAGCATTCCCCCCACCTGTCCCATCCCAACTACTCCAACATCTAAATCCAGGGTGTTCCAACAACCCAGACCACCATCTGACCTTACCCCAACCTTGATTTAGACTACAGTACACCATCACCATACCACCCATCTCCCAGCGTTGGCCTCCACCCTAACCAGATCCTTCACTGCACCCAAAGACCCCAGTTGGTTCTGTAAGTCCACACTGCTCTCTCTCAAACAGTTTATTTCTTCCCTTGAACACTTCCTTCCTTCCTGGGTCCCCTCTTTCTCTCATCAGCATCAAAACTCCACTTCCAGCCCTTCGCATAGTGTATTCCTATTTCTTCTTTTCAGCCCAGACTGTCCCTCATCTCCAAACCTCTGGCAGAAACCCCCACATCACACCACACCACATCCTGGCAAACTATCCTAAACAACCAGCATTGACTGGGTTTTCCCAGTAACTCACCAGACTGTTCACCCCACCAAACTGGCAGGTTTCTTTCAGCCCCTGAGCACTGTGTCTTAGTCCTGTCCATCCCTGAACGCCCAAACCCTTCATCCAGGCTTTCTCTGTCATCATCTACCTCCCACTCTAAGGTTGTTTATCAACAACCAACCCAACAACCTTTCACCTCAGCAAGGTCTCTTACAGCTCCCTCAGCTCCTGTAGCCAGGATCCAACCCCCAGGATTGGATCCACATTGACTGGATTGTTCAATGCCCTGTCACAGATGCTCCCAGACTCCCCAGAGTCAATCCCTCAACATCCTCACTGGGTTCCTTCATTGCTCCTTCCCTTGTAAGGCCAAGTGGGCCATGACCACCCTGCTTCCCAGCTCTCCTTAGCACCCAGCCCTCCATCATGCCTTCCAGACCTTAACTGCATCAACTCAAGGCAAACTGATCCCATCCCAACAAAGACTCCCCCGTACCATCCTCAAGCCTCTCAGCCCCCGACAGGCCCCTTTTCCAGGTCCCACATAGCCTCAGGCTCCGGCCAGGGCCCCACACCGGCCTGCGTCTCCCGTGGCTGAAGGCTCCAGCAGCATCCCTCTGGCTGTTTGCCCCTAGTCCCCCTGACCCAGGTCCCCTTTCCTGACGGGATATCCCCGCCCTACCAGCTCCCGGTGGACAAGCCCCCCATGGTGACACCGCCGGTCCCAGTGGCCCCCGGCCTGCCAGGCCCCCGGGTGGGTGCCTCCTGCTCCCGTTACCCCACGCTCCCCGGGGGTGGACGCCCTCGGGCTCAGAACCCCTCCGGTGCGCGCCGCCGGGCCCAGGCCACCCCGGTGCCCCGTCCCCGCCGCACTCACCATCCTCTGCGCGGCTCCGGGGTTACCATGGGCAACTGCGTCACACACACGCCGCCGCCACGCACGGCGTAAGCGTTTCCCGCCGTACGTACACAGCGTGCCGACGGCGGGCGCGAGGGGGGCGGAGCCCGGCGACACTGCCCGCGGCTAAAGCCCCGCCCCGCCCAAGCCAGCGCATGCGCGAAAGGGGCAACCCTGCTGGAGGGGAGGTGGAGGGCTGCCCTCTCTGGGCTCTATGATTGGCTGAGGACGGCCACGCGGCGGGGTCCGGGGGGCAGGAGACGGCGCGTGAGGGGTCTGCAGGTAGGGCCACGTGGGACGCGGGTGTGCAGTGCAGTGCAGTGCAGTGCAGTGCAGTGCAATGAGTACTGCCATGTGATGTAATGCAGTGCAGTGTAGTGTAATGCAGTGCAGTGTAATGTAATGCAGTCCAGTGCAGTGCAATGCAATGCAATGCGTACTGCCATGTAATGTAATGCAGTGCAGTGCAGTGTAATGTAATGCAGTCCAGTCCAGTGCAGTGCAATGCAATGCAATGCAATGCGTACTGCCATGTAATGTAATGCAGTGCAGTGCAGTGTAATGTAATCCAGTCCAGTGCAGTGCAGTGTCATGTAATGCAGTGCAGTGCCATGTAATGTCATGTAGTGCAATCTAATGTAGTGTATTGCATGCAGTGGCATGTAGTGTAACGCAGTGCAGTGTACTACCATGGCATGGGCCAGGCCAAGCGCTGTGGTTTTGTGAGGGCACTGTGCAGCACTATAGACCATGTGTAGTGCAGTGTGATGCAGTGGGGGAGCACAACAGTGTTGTAGAGGTGCGTTGTCTGTGTTGGAGAACACACATTGTAATGCAGTGCCAGCGCCACAGAAGGGTGCAGCGTGGTGCCCCAGGGGATGTTGGTGGGGCTGTGCAGCAGCCGCAGGAGGGTGCAGTGCCACAGTGGGTGCAGGCAGTGTTTGGGAGCTCAAGGAGCAGACCCCACGCAGGCAGGATGGCATGCGAAAGAGCAGTCTTATTGCAGCAGGGTGCAGGAGGTTCCTGGGCTCAAGGCTGCTGAAAGTCCAACTCTTCCGTTAAATATAAACCTGCCATAGCTCTTGCCCAGTTAACCACTCCTGTGGCCATGGCAGGCCCGCACTCAGTGCGCAGGCAGGATCCTCCTGAGCTGCCTTCTCCCCCTGCCCAGATCCACGCCAAGATGGCCACCGTCCCCCATGACTTCAACATCGACGCCCCGCGCTGGGACCAGAGCACCTTCATGGGGCGCCTGAAGCACTTCCTCAACATCACTGACCCACGGACCGTGCTGGTGCCGGAGAAGGAGCTGGACCGGGCCAAGACTCTGGTGGAAGCCTGCAGGTGAGGAGCAGGGGTACAGCAGGGCAGGTACCATCCCCATGGCCATACCTGACCACCCTGCAGGGCCACACAGGGATGGAAGCAGTCATTCCCCAGTGCATGTACTGAGACATAATATCCATTAGAGGTGATTTGGGAGGAGTTTCCCAGCCTTCTCTCGGGAGTCTCAAGCTGAGGCAAGCTTCCCTCATGGAAGATGTTTCTCTGCCTTTCATGTTTGGTGCCCCGGGGCTCTGTGCCCCGGTGATGGAAGGTGCTGGTGGGTCTGCTTAATTCCTCCTCGATGGTCTCTGGGCTTGCAGGACCGGGCTGGTGCCACCAGGAAGCAGCCTGGAGCAGCTGCTGTACGCCAAGAAGCTGTACGACTCAGCCTTCCACCCTGACAGCGGCGAGAAGATGAACTTTGTTGGGAGGATGTCCTTCCAGGTGCCAGGGGGCATGGCCCTCACCGGCTGCATGCTCCAGTTCTACCGGTGAGCTCCTGGGGATGCTGGGCAGCATCCCTGACAGCCCACAGCCCCTGAGAGGTCCCCGACAGTCCAGGCATGGCCTCCTCTGGGGCTGGCTGGTGCTTGAGCCATGCCCATGGCTTCTGTGCCTGCCTGTGTCCTGTGGCCAAGACCTGCATCCCTGTGCCCTGTCCCTGTTGCACAGCCTGTGGTGGAAGCATCATGAGTCCTCCCAGCTCCCAGCATGGCTGGGAATAGCCCCACTTCAGCTCAGCTCAGCTCTTCCTGGAGCCCCTGTAATGATTAACGTGGCCAAGCCCTGCATGGCTGCTGCTCTTGCTCCATGGATCATAACAGCCCTCAAAAATGAGGACCAAATATGCCCCCAGGCCAGGCTTCTCCAGTGGCCCCAGCCCATACCAACAGCTCCCTGTGTTTCCCTTCTGAAATGGCTGCTGTGGGGGGCGAGCAATCCTGTTCCCAGCAGGGAGGCTGTGTGGGACAGCCACTGCCTTCCCCAGTGAATCCCCATCCCATCCCACCCCTGTTTGCTGGCCTGGTTTCACAGTCACTGGTGTGATCCAGCCTGGATGGGAGTTCTCCCAGCGCTGATTGGTCACCCTCTTCCCAGCCCACCTCTACCCTCCTGCACCCCAAAGCTTGATCAGACCCACATCTCCCCGTGTCTCCTCCTCAGTGCCCCTGAAACACCAGGAGGAGCCCAGGCATCATAGTCACCCCCAGAGCCGCCTCTGTCCCCATATGCCCCCACTGTGCTGCTCCCTTTGACAAAGGCTTATCTGAGCTCAGCAGGATGGCTGCTGGCCCTGGCTGAGCACCCCACCGGGCTGGGCCCCTTCTTTGCTCCCCAAAGCCCTGTCACAGACAGGACTCCTGGGATCATTTCCCAGCTCTGCCAATGGCTCGTGGCTTTGCTGCAGTGCCTCATTTTCCTTTGGGAGACATCATGACAAGGGTACTGAAGGCATCTTGGCTGCCTTCCTGCCAGGTCAGGTATCCCTGACAGCCCTCAGGTGCTCTCCTGGTCCCTTCCCTCTGCAGGACAGTGCCTGCTGTGGTCTTCTGGCAATGGGTGAATCAGTCCTTCAATGCCTTCGTCAACTACACCAACCGCAATGCTGCCTGCCCCATCTCACTGAAGTAAGTGTGCCCACACACAGAATGGGCACCTTCTGTGTTGGGACCCCCTTTATGCTCCATAAAGACCCCCTGTGCCTGGTCTTGGGCACTGAAGGAACAGGATTGAGTCAGAGTTGGTGTTTCTGTTCTCTCCCTTCTTTGGAAATCACTGTCCAGGCAAATTGGGGTGGCTTATGTCACAGCCACTGGTACAGCCCTGGCCACGGCCGTGGGACTCAACCTCTACACCAAGGTATGCCGGGATGGGTAGGGGAGCTGGCTGCATCCTGCCCTCCTGCACTGACACCAGCCTGTCTCCCGCAGCGAGCACCCCCCTTGCTGGCCCGTTGGGTCCCCTTTGTGGCCGTGGCTGCTGCCAACTGTGTTAATATCCCCATGATGCGGCAACAGTAAGTGCCATGCGCGGCTGGGGCGCCTGAGGGACCCAGCTCCTTCTGAAGGCGAGAGGATGGAAACCATGCTGGGGTCTTGCACATTCATGGTGTCAGGTCTCTGGTGAAGGTGCCGGGTGGGGTGTCTCAGCCTCTGCCTGGAGGAGCGGGATTTTGGGCTGAGGATAACTATTCTGGGGTCTGGCCTGGAATATCTCTCAGACCCAAAGATCTTCTGCATGTGGTCATGGGAACGCCCCAGTCCACAATGTCCATGTACTGGGACCCCCTAGATGGGGCTCATGTAGAGACCTGTGTCTGCTGCTTGGTGTCCCCAGAGGTGACAGCGAGGGGAACTGGGGTGCTGTGCGGGACTGTCGCCTTGCTGGGCTGTGGGTCACAGGGAGGTGTCTGTCCCCTGAATGGCCAGACCCAGTTTGCAGCCATGCCCTGAAGATGGCAGCATTGGCTGGGCTGGGGACTGTGGTGCCCTGGGCTGGTGGAGCCCTACACCCTGGGACCAGGGCTGGGGTCAGTGGGGTTGCTGGGACCCCCTTGGTACTCCCTCACCCCACTGCTGTGTCCTCACACTTATGCATTGATCTCAGTTCCCACTCACTACTGCCTGTCCCCTCCAGGGAGATCATCAATGGGGTCATGGTGACAGACCAGGACAACAACGAGCTTGGCCACTCCAGGGTGAGTCTGGGGATGAGGGTCCAGGTTGGGGTATGGCATTGGAAGGGGCTCACCTGCTGCTTTTGCTTGCAGAGGGCAGCAGTGAAGGGCATCACGCAGGTTGTGGTCTCCAGGATCACCATGGCAGCACCAGGCATGAGTGAGTGCAGAGCAGGGGAGTAGGGGGCTGGACTGGGGACTCCACTGGGACCAACCACTTCACCCTCCCCTGCTCTCAGCAAGATCCTTGCCATGCCAGAAGCCTGGCAGAAAGGATGGGAGCATGAGGAGCATGCTGCCTGGGGGATGGATGGATAAAGGGATGAGGGTCCTGTGCCAGGTCCCTGCGATGAGCACCCAGTAGTTCCCAGCACAGCTAGCTGCTGCCATGGCACGAAGGATGGTCCTGCTGGGGCAGCCCTTTGGGCCTGGCTTTCAGGGATGCCCTGACCTTTTCTCTCTGCACCTAGTTATCTTACCCATCATCATGGAGCGACTGGAGAAATACCCCTTCATGCAGGTGAGCCTGTGTTTCTCCTCCCATGGTTTGCCAGTGGGTCCTGTGGTGCCACTGAGATGCTGGAGATTATATGGGGGGTTGTAGACCTTGGCTTGCTTTGCCCCCTATTCAAGTCACCAGTACACCAGAGATCTCTTGGGAGAGGCTGTGAAAGGGTGGCAGGGTTGGTGGCACCCTAGAGGTATTGGGCATTCAGCCCCTTTGAGGGGAGAGGTCTCCCTACCCTGTAAGCAGGGCTTATGGCTAAGCCAGAAACTCAATCCCAGCTCTTCTCTTGCAGCGAATCCGAGTTCTCCACGGGCCTCTGCAGGTGCTTGTCAGTGGGGGCTTGTAAGTATCTCACTGCTCGAATGCCTGTGGGTGCCTGGAGGGTGGCTCCAAGGGATTCTTGAGAAAAGACCTTTTTCCCAGCAAGGGATTGCAAAGCTGCTCGCCTTTCAGCCTGGGCTTTCCCCAGTTATTTGGAGTCAGCACCTCTTGGGATGGGATTCCTGTGGCCAGGGGGCAAATGGCCTGCAGTCCACAAAACTAATGCTGTATCTTCTCTGTCCCACAGCCTCCTGTTCATGGTGCCAGCAGCCTGCGCCCTGTTCCCTCAGAGATGGTACCTGTCCCACTGCTTCCTCCTCCTGCACGGGACCTTGGGAACCTTCCTCCTCCCCTAAGTCCTCTCTGCCCTTCCCAGTAGGAGCATGATGTCCTCCTGCATGCATCTGAATGTACACACTGGAGTCCCGGGCAGCAGGAGAGCATGTGCCTCCTCTGCTTTGCAAGCTCTGTGCTGGGAGCATTGGGACCCCCCAGGCCCATAGGCAGCTCTCTGCCCCCCAGCACTGGACGTGGTGGGTGCCAGGAATGGGTGGTGGGTCTTGATGTGAGCCTGCAAGATCCCAGGGACTGCAGGGGACCTTGCATATCACTGGGGAGGGAGGGTGACCTGTCTAATGGCCATGGAGGAAGATGACAGGTCTAAGTGTCTAACCCTTCTCCCCACAGCTCCCTTGCGTTGTCCAACCTTGAGCAGGAGCTGCGTGACAGCATCGTGACCAAGCACGGGGACAAAGTGCCACACGTCTACTTTAACAAGGGTCTGTGAATGGAGACTACCTCAGGAGCCATCGCACCCCTCCTGGTAGCCTCCTGCCACCACCAGCCCCACATTCCCTGAGCAGGGCTCAGAGGCACAGTCCAGCCAGATCTGCCCCCTGCCCCAGCCCAGCACCCTGGTGCCTCCTCCCTGCAGGGGAGCAGGATCTGGCTCTGTGCACCCAGCTTGCAGCACTCTGGCTTGTCCTGAGCCTCCCCCCATTGCTGCTAGCCGTGTGCTTGCCTCCCCATGTTCCTCTGGGTGATGGTGGCACTTCCAATGCCTTCCGCTACCCCAGCCTTGTGTCTGTGTGAGCCTCATGACTCCTGTGAGGCATCAGGCTCTCGCTTGGGGCTCAGAGTGCAGTCCTACCTCCAAAAGCAGGTGCCCTGCCATTGCACCAGGAGCCAAACCACATTGCTGCCTTAAACCACCACAGTGGCCTTTTACCAAGAGGGACGTCTCCCTCTGCACAGGGAGCATCCTGAAGTCGAGGGACCAATGCCTGGACCATGCCTTCCTTATTCTCAGGTTCAGGATTTCTTCACTTTGTGTTGCCACAATCCAGGAGAGAAATAGTTACTTGTTTTTTAAGCTCTAATTTTTGCAATCTACCCATTCCTCTGAGCACAAGAGCCAGCCATCACCCTTGTCCCACTTCTCACTGTCTCTACAGTAGGACCAAGGATCTGCAGCTTTGGGGGACAGTTGACTCTGGCCCGCCTTGGGCAGGGGGAAGCGGACACAAGAGTTACAAAGCTGGCAAGGCACTGACCCAGACTCTGAGTGGCAGCACTGAAAATGGCAGAGAGGAGGGTTGAGTAATTAAATTTTAAAAGCAGCTGTGGGCTCTGCTTCTGGCTGGTTCCCTGGACAGGGCTGGTACGTGGGTCTCATGCCTGCCTTGAAAGGGCAGGGTGCAGGCTCTGTGACTGACCAGCCACCAGGATGAGGGCACAAGGGCCAGGAGAAGGAGGAAGAGCCATGAGGCTTTGCAAGGGCTGACATGAGCCCTGAAACCCTTGGGTATCCCATGCAGCCTCCCCAGATTGGTTCTTGGGGCTGCAGATAGTCTTGAGGGCAAGTGACAAAATGGAAGTGATGGTGCAGTGCTCATGGTGACTCACCCCATTGGGGATATTGAGGGATGACACTAACTGACCCTACACCCATGGGTGCTGTTTGTCTCCTTGGCCAGACAGTGTTTGCAGTGATGCTAACTTGGGTCTGCCAGAAAGCTCTCCCACACCAAAGAAGAGCAGCTTAAGTTTGTTGCAGCCTACGTTTCAGAAGAAGGAGACCCAGAGTTTAGTCCTAGTCCTGGGCTAAAGTCCCTGCCCTCAACCAGCTGCATCTAGCTCTCTTCTTGCTGGTGAGCATCCCGTGGTGGGATAAGCATGTTTCTAACCAGCTGTCTGATGTGGCTGCTTGGAGAGCCCCATACTCATCCCTTCAGCCAGGGATACCTGTCAGATTCCCACGTGGAGACACAGGGTCTGCAGCAAAAGGGCTTTATGGCATTAAGCACTCCACTCCTACAAACAGAGCAGCCAAAACCAAAATGTACTTCTTGAAAGGCCAAGCTGTATCTACAACAGGTTTGCTTCTGCCCAAGCTGCAACAGGCAGAGGATAATGTCTGCAGCCACGTGTAGTTACAGCTAGAAAGTTGTATAAGAGCTCTGAAATAATTAATAGGTCAGCAGAAAGTAGGAAAACGAGTTAAAGCTTGTGTATCCATTCCCTGGGTATTATTAGATCTCTTGTTAATGCACAATTAAAATAATAGATAAGCACATGAAATGTAACAGATGTCACTCCTGTTGCAAGTGGGAAGAAGCCAGAAGAAGACATCTCTGCTCTCCTTAACTCAAGCTGCTCTTACTGTACACCCAAACCTGCTTTGAGCACTTTCAGAAAGGCACCTGTAGCAGTCTGGGCTGTATTTGGGTCCAAGGTGCCTCTCACAGTGATGCTCTAATAACTGCCCCTCCCTGCGCATTACAGCCATGCTCTTGCTGTTGACCCTTCCTGTATTTGCAGTGAGTACCGTGCAGCCAGTGATGCTGGGGCAGCAGCCTGGGACCACAGTGGGAAAGCCTTAGCATTATTGCTGTCCCCGGCCATACCAGAGGGGCAATGGAGGAGAGGGATCCTCTGAAGAGCTACTGCCATCTCACACCAGCTCATCCCCTGCCCTGGGGAGCAGGGCATGGTGCAGCACACTGCTTTGGACAGAGGAAGTGGGTTGCTCTGGGCTTGGAGGATATTCAAGCCATCCTCAAAACAGACCTCCCCCACCCCTGAGCTTATAGTAGTGGATTCCGTCTTCAGACCGATGTGGGTTTACGCCAGCTGACAGCTTAGCTCAGCAGGGTTTGTAGGTTTCCAGGTTGTAGCTCCCATCTCCCCTGAGGATTCAAGTCATCTCAACAGCTCATGTTGCCCTGGTGTCAGGAGAGGGTTGATGCAGCCAGAGCCTTCCTGCACTCCCTAAAACCACAGCAACTCCCCAGCACGCCTTGGTCTCCTTAGGGAGCAGAGGGGTCACAGCCACGCTGCAGCCACCAAGTCCCTGTGCTTCCAAGGGTGACTCTGCCAGCCTGCCTCCATCTCCCATTGCTGCAATACGAAGGAAACCTCATTGCCAGGAGTCAGAGCCGGACTCATCCCTGATCGGGAAGAGCTGCAAGTGTTAATTGCTCTCCAGCGATGAGTCACACCTGATCTGGGCTGGTTCTGTGCTCCCATTGAATTCATGCCTTCTCCCAGCTGTGCCTCTAATTGTGGTGAACAGGAATAAAGCTTCTTTAATAACTGTTCACGGCTGAAATGTCATGTTTATAACCTCCCTTCAAATGAAAACCAGACAGAAGACACTGGGCTGCAGCAGAGCCTTGGAAGGCATGGGAGGCTGAGGTGCTCATCTGGAGCATCAGCAGTCCCAGCAGGCAGGCTTGGCTGGCTGCTCCTCACCCAAAGGCTGGTGGAGGCTGGTGAACTGGCTGCCTATGGAGGGGGGATCGGCAGGGTGCCATGTGCAATGGGTTAACACCCGATGGCCCATGCCAGGGCAGGCGGGCGAGCTGAACCAGCGGGGTTAGGTGTGCCCCAAGCACTGCCCTGACTGGAGCATGCCAGGGTGGGAGATAAGCTGCTAAACCCATTACTTTTGTTTTGGCTTTTCTTAACGTGTTATCTGAGCATCTGATAAACCTCATCCCTCTGATCCCTGTGGAGGCAGACCAATGTGCAGGGAGCGGCAGTGTAGAAAGCCTCTGCCACTGCCCCGGGAACACGGGCTATCTCCCCTGAGCTGTGAATTAACCCCCAGTGCCAGTGTCCCCTCTTCTCCCAGGCATGCAAGCCTGGGCAAGGGACTGCAGTGTGGGGACATGCTGGGACTTGGCCATGGTGGGACACTTCTCCATGCTGCTGCTGCCTCTGGACCAGACTGACACCAACATATGGTTGCCTGCCAGGCACCTCCAGTCCAGCCCTATGCTGCTGCTATCATTTTAGCCCCCTCTCCATGTCAAACTCCCAGATCCAGGTTGGCCGCTTGGGTCTGGGGCTCTATGGGTGCACTGGAGAGGAGGCCAAGCGGGGATCATGGTAGCCAGGTGTGGCCAGCTGAATGGAGGACGAGTGTCTGGCTGCCATTGGGGTGTCATGGCGCTGTAGCAGGCTTATGAACCCCCTTTTTGCAGTGCCCAGGTCTGTCCCTGGAGGTGCCTGCACTGAGGGTGCAGGGCCAAGGGGCAGCCCCCCCACTCCGCCTCCAGGCAGTTCCGCCACTCACAATATGGCAGCGCGCCCCCACCCCAGCCTCCCTCCCCGGTGCGCCACACTCAAGATGGCAGCTCCCGGTGCGCAGGCCCCGCCCCTCCCGGTTCTGCCCATAAGCGACAGCGCTCTGAACCAATAGCAAGCCAAGCGGCGCACCGCCCACCCAATAGGCGGCCGGGTGGGGCGGGCCGGGGCGCGGGGTGCCCCCTCGGCTCCCGTCCCGGGCCGCAGTCGGGCTGGGGAGGCGGGGAGCGGGGGGTGGGGGGGGGATGGCGAGGAGGTTCCGCGCCGCCATGGCCTTGCTGCTGTTCCAGGCCCTGCCCGAGGGGCTGCCTGCCAGCGTGGAGCCTGCCCAGGTAGGGGCTGCCCTAGGGGAGGCTGCTTGGAGGGGGGTCTGGGCTCGCGCCGTGCTGGGGGGTTGTGTCTGTGAGGCTGGGGGATACAGCCTGAACGCCTGAGGGGCAGCGCAGGGGTCTGTACCCTCCGTGGTGAGGGACGTGGCCTTTGGGGTAGGGGGTCAGGCTGGGCTGGCAGGGGCAGGAGTGGGGTCCCTGGGCTCTTGGGGCTCGAGGAAGAGGCTTTTGGGGCCCTGCCTGAGGTTTGGGAAGCCCTTTAGGTGAAGAAAACCTGGAGGAGATGCAGAGACTGGAGTTTGGGGGTGCTTCTGTGTTGAGGGGATGGAGAGGGTTTGTAGAGGATCTAGGTGCAGGTGCCAGTGCTGCTTTGAGATGCTTTGTATGGCAGGGTGAGGAAGAAAGGTGCTTGGTGGTGGTTGACTGGAGATGGTGGTGAAGATGGCCATAGTGAGGGCAGAGGCTTGAGCTGGCAGGTGCGTGGGGACTGTGGATGGAGCAGTGTGTGTCTTCCTGGGGTGGTGACAGGGAGGAGGTGGCCCGTGAGGGGATGGGGCTGGAGGAGGTTTGGGATGAGCTGGAGGGTGTCTCTGGGGCAGCTAGCCAGAGGGTCAGTGGGGAAATGGGACTTGTGTGGTGCTGGTGAGCTGGTCTGCCCGTGGCAGTAACTGTGGTGGGGAGGTTTGGCGCAAGCCTCGGCACAGAGGGAAGGAAAAGGGAGTGTGTGTCAGCTGGGATGAGGGGAGCAAGGCCTTATCTTTGTAGGCTCTGACCACCTGCTTACTACCTTCTTCATGCCTGGAAAGGGTTTTAATAAAGTTGATTCTCTCTTCATCTCTTTACTGTTTCCTGTCTATGCTGCAGTGTATACCATTCAGATCACCAGTGATGTTCTGGGGTTCCCCCATGTAGATGCATGTAGACCTCTCCCACCTTGATATGTATGCTTAGTGTCACTCGGAGAGAAGTGTACTAGGCCAAGCAACCTGTGCATGACCTGGATCTTATTATTTGTGGAGTCAAGATGTCTCTTTCACCCTGTGTAGAACACAGACAAAACAGGATGACTTCTGGTTTGATACGGTGTATTACTTATAAGGTACAAATGGTAAGTTGCATTTGTTGAAGGTCTGAGCCAGCGAGATGCTGCTCTATGACTGCAGGTCACAGAAGCTGTGGGTTGCACGGTGCTTAATGTAACAAGGGTGCAGATGGGGAGTACCCTTTCTGGAAGGCTTCCATTGAAATATTTCTCAATGCTTCTGCTGAAGTTTGCTGAGGAGTTTGCCTAAGACTACAGATGTTATTTCCCTTTTGTATTACTGTTGTCTTTTCAGGATGCTAAGAGCATTAGATCTACTTTAAAAGCTGTGTATTGGTAGTGCCATCCCAAATCTCTTTTGGCTGCACTGAGGCTAAGGTTGTGCATTGATGCCCTAGGGAACCAGGTGTAGGATTGTGTTGAACCGTGTGTTTTCCATGCTGTCTCAACTGCCTTTACCAGGTGGAAGTCTTGGTGCTTGCTCTGTATCATCTGTGAGCTGAGGTACATAAACTAAACATATAGAAGCACATCTCAGGTCTGTTTTGCTCTCTGGTCGTTGTGGCATTCCAGCTGCAAGCAGTGGTCAGGTGGTAGGATTATCTGGACAGAAGCTGTGAAAGTGTTGAACCCTATACATGCTCATAAAAATACCATA